AGATAGATAGATAGATAGATAGATAGGAAAGGCGGAAAAGTGGGGGATGGATGCAGGCAGGCAGGTGTATAGATATACTGTAAATAGATGATAGATAAGAGAGAGGGAGATAGACAGACAAATGGATGCAGGCAGGCATATAGTTATAGATAGATGGATAGGTAAGAGAGATAGATGATGGAGGGAGGGAATAGATAGAGAGGTAATCCTTGATTTATGACCACAGTTGGGACTGGATGTTCCATTGCTAGGTGATGCAGTTACATGAAGCGTGCCTGATCCTACACCCATTTTTTTGCCCCAGTCATTAAGTGAGTCCAGCTTCCCTTGCTGACTTTGCATGTCAAAAGCTTCCTGGGAGGGGTCGCAGATGCTGATCACAGGACCCTGCGAGGTCACGAATGCTTGTTGCTTACCAAACACTTGAATTATGATCGGGGCGTCCCTGCGGACGCTGCGACTGTTGTAAGCGTAGGACCAGCCATCATTTTTTCCAGGGCGAGATCCTGTGCTTCCAAATGCCCAGAGTGAGCCCATCAGTGGAGGGAGCCACTTAACCAGGTGAGCCACGGAGGATGAACACGGCTTAATTTAGTCTCTACTTCTCTGCAGGGTTTTCTTCCAGATCCGACGATGAACCGCCTCCTTCCAGGGGCCGTGGGGGCCGCCGACAACGCACAGAAACGCGGTCGCCAGACCCCAATGGAGTTTTCCAACATGATGGCTCTGATGGGGGCCGGCCGGGTCCAACTAGGAGCCACGGGACCCCTCTCTCTGCACCACGCACACTTCCAAGCCCCCCCGGCCCATGGCTCTGCCTTGCAATACATGCCGTTCCCGGCCGCCGCTGCCACCGCCGCCACCTCCTCCGCCAGCCTTCTCCACCCGGGACTGGGCCACGCCGGCTACGCCGCCGCCCCTTTGCATCTGGGCCACCCTCAGCGCGTGGACGAGGACGAGGAGGAAGACGAGATGGACGACTTGTCTCAGGGCTACGCCAGCTCGGAGCGGGACTTTTCCTTGCTCGACGACGACCCCATGATGCCAGCCAACTCCGACTCCAGCGAGGAAGGGGAAGAGGAGGGAGAAGACTGAACTGACGTCTCGGAGGGCAGACGGGCGGATTCCGACAGGGGCCAGCTCCTCTCCGGGGGGGCTAGCCGTCCTCATGACATTGAATTTGAAAGGCCAGAGACTCGGGGGGGCCCGTTGGGGCCCCCCTCGGCAGACAGGTTCCCTTCGTCCCCCGTTGGCTGCTGGGAGGACAAAGCAGGGTCCTTCAAACCCAGCAAGGGTCGGATGGGGGAAATAACGACTTGCCTCCAAGGGTGCTCGTGCGGGGCTTATTTTTTGAAAGAAAAAAAAAAGGAAAAAAAAATTTAAAAGGTGGCTGTCGGTCGGGTGAGCAGATCTGCCCCTCTTCCTGCAGCACTTGGAACTGTCACCCGAGAACTGTCTCCCTGGCTGCAGTCCCGAGGCAGCAAAGACCACCCAGTCCTCCTCCTCCTCCCCATTAAGCTAAGATGACCTGGATCTAGGTAGCAGCTCCTTCCCTTTCCTTTGGGTCTCCCCACAGCCGGCTCCGTTCGCCACCGCCACCGCCACCATCGCCCCGGTTCACGTGCTGTAATATAAGTGCAAAAGGAGGGTGGTGAGGACGCCTTTTCCTTTCCCTCCATGCCCCTGTCTCCGTGTGGGTGGGGTTTATATTTATAAATATGTAATATGTCTTGTGTAATATGGCCGAGGCTGTGGGGAAGAAAAAATGAATTTGTGAGGGGGTTTAAAAATGTCACGAGGGCGGGTGGTTGTTCGGGTGGCAGGGGGCCGAGGGAGGAGAGACAATAGAGCTTCCTGTAGCTGGATTCTCCTTTTTTTTTTTCTTTTGTTTTTTTTTTTTAATAAAAGGAACAAAATGCACAAAACGTGAGCCCTCCCTCGCCCACCCTGTTCTTTTGCGGTGCTGTTATACACGAGTTGCGTAAATCAAACAAAAATCACCTCAAAGAGCTGGGGGTCCGTTTGGGCTTCTTTCCCTCTAGGACAGTGTTGGCGAACCTTTTAGAGACCGAGTGCCCAAAAAATGGCCCCGCCTGCCCTCGCTCCGCCTTGTCCCACCCACCCCGCCCCATCCCGGCCCTACCCGCCCACAGGGCCACCCACTGCCTCCACAGATTGCCATGGCGGCCCAGCAGTGCCATGGCGGCTCTGCCCGCGCCCCGCAGCATCATCTGCGCGTGATGGGGCACGAGGGCAGAGTCTTGTAAAAAAAACAAGAAAAAAGTGAAGGAAATGATTGGTCCATTAGTGGGGGAAAGTGGCAAGAAGGTGACAAGCAACAGGGAGAAAGCAGAACTATTTAATTCATTTTTTTGCATCTGTCTTTACACAAAGGGAAAAAAAACAGTCCAACTTATCAAAAACAGTACCATAAAAAAAATAGATTAGAAACACAAGTTAAGATAGGCAAGAAAATGGTAAGTGAGCAGCTATCCAGCCTAGACGAGTTCAAATCACCAGGACCAAATGGATTACACCCCAAGGTTCTCAAGGAACTGGCAGATGTGATCTCAGAACCACTGAACTATATTTTTCAAAGATCCTGGAGCACTGGGGAACTACCAGAGGACAGGAAAAGAGCTGATGTAGTTCCCATCTTCAAAACAAAAAGGGGAAAAAATAGATCCAGGAACTACAGATCTATCAGTCTGACCTCAATACCTGGGAAGATTCTGGAAAAGATAATCAAACAAGAAACAGCGAACACCTAGAGGCAAACAAAGTCATTACTAAAAGCCAACATGGGTTTGTCAAAAACAGATCATGCATTCTTTGACCAAGTGACAAAATTAGTGGACCAGAGGAATGCTGTGGATATAATTTTCTTGGACTTCAGTAAGGCATTTGATAAAGTTCGTATAGGGCAGTGTTTCTCAACCTTGACAATTTTAAGGCATGTGGACTTCAACTCCCAGAATTCCACAGCCAGCAATGCTGGCTGTGGAATTCTGGGAGTTGAAGTCCACATGCCTTAAAATTGTCAAGGTTGAGAAACACTGGTATAGGGTTTCCTGCCTGAGCAGGGGGTTGGACTAGATGACCTCCAAGGTCCCTTCCAACTTTATTATATATTATTAAATGCAAGAGTGAAACCTTTCTAGCAGATGAACTTAAAACATTCCCTCCTGCTAACTTTGGGCTGTTCTTAAGAGTACACAGAGAGAAAGGGGAAAAGAAAAAAACAACACATTTCTCTTCACTCTGTTGGCCAGACAAACAGAGTGAGGGTATTTTCTTTTGGTCGCTTAATTTAAGCAGAATTTCTAGCAGAATTTTAAAATTCTTATCTCTTTGGATTTGAAACAGTTAACAGTCACATTTACCTCACACACAAAGACTTTGACAAACATATACACACAAAGACAAGGAAGAGTACAGAAAAGGGAATCGGAAGTCTTAATTTTACACATCCTAGTCATTCCCACCATAAATTTCAATTAAGTTAGGGAAGGCTCCAATCTTAAACATACCACGTGGTTGAGATAGAGAGAGAGTCACTATTTCTTATTTTCCCTTTAAGTACCTTTATTTAGCCAAATTGGTTTCCCAGCAAAGCCCATTCTTCACAAATTTGTCTCGCTTTTTCTTTTTCATACCATCCAGGACAGGCACTCGCCTCTCGTCCCACACCTCGAGCAAATCTCCAATAGGTGACCTAATTTCAACCCTCGAACTGCAGCTACCCATGTTCCCCTTCCAATGTGGGGTCCAATCTGCCTCAAGTCAGGTTTCTCCTAGCAGCACTTCCCAGCCACTCTTAGCGACAACAACCCTGCCGCTCCGCCTGTCAGTTTTTGGGCACTAAAAAATTGCCCAGGAAGACTCCGGTTCCTTACACGGAGTAAGGGCACTTCCAGTTTAGGGAACTCCCTGCCGTCACTTTGCGGACCTCAAAAATAAATTATTCGAGGAGGACCTGCCGCACAGGTACTCGGCCCCCGTTTACACCCCGCCTGCAGTTTTCAGACTTAGAAGTCTGGGAGGACCTGTGCTTTGTGCACTAGTAGGGGCCCCTCCTATAGATGGGCTTTGCTTACAGGGCCTTACCAGTTGGTTGCCCAAATCCAATTCTCTCATTCACTCATTCCATTCCATTTTCACATGGCCTCTCCCTTTTCCCTAACAAAAGGTCCTACACTCTGGCCAAACCCCCATGCTTTCCAGGGTCTGCCAATTAAATAGATCCTTTCTGCGGCTAGGAAAGACCAGAAGGAGCAAAATCCAACTGTGATTGGAAAAAAAGGGTCTTCTCACTCACACACACAGACATACACACATTTCCTTTGTTCCCCTGGTCTTTAAACTTAAAATTTAGAGGTACTCACCTTCACCTTCTTTCCAAAGCAGCCCTTGAGCTCAAAACCCAAAACTCCCTTTACTACCCTCGCTCCACATGGGTAGGGCCTGGGAAACCCATCCACAGACACAAGGGGTCTGCTGCCGGCAAGATGGGGCTTACCAGTCTCAGTCCATTGGAGAGTTTAGCTTGGAGTCCCATCTGGGGTGCCAAATTGTTGAAAGAAAAGTCTTCATCCTGGTTCATCCAAGCCGGGGATAAATAAACAACATGGCGACTGCTTTGGGAAGAAGGTTATAGTTTATTGAAGAGGCAGAAAGATGGTTCTTGCAGGAAAGACCAGAGAAAAGAAGAGAAGGGCTGAGCACATGGGTAGTAGGTTTTTATACTCTCTCTAGCCTTTTGTTTGAAATAGTTTCCTGTTCCTGTGGCATGAACTTTGAGGCTATTTCCTGTGTCACGTATTCTGACCTGAGTTTAGGTGTGCCTCTCTGGTATTCTTTATGGTGATGGGTTAGTCCTATTATCATATCCTGCTTCCTTAGTGATGGGCTAATGGCTCCTAGAATTTGAGTGGGGTATGCAGATTTTAGGTCTTTGTCTTCTTGATCTCCTAGCTGGGGCCTTTCTGGTGGTTTACATCTGCATTTGTATAGAGCTGGCTCCTGCTTGGGACAGAGAGACTTGTGGGCAGGGTTGGTTTCTGCTTTTAAAAATCCTTTTGAGGAAATATATTTTTCTGCCCTTTTTAATATTTCCTTCTCTGGGGCTGGCTTCCCACACCTGTGTTCATAAGGTCATGATTTGGGCCTTTGGCAACCGGCATGCATTTACAAGGGCCACTGAATCCTACAATCACATGGTCACCATTTGTGACCCTCACAGCTAGTTTCTGTTAGAAGAATAACTGGGTTTCCACAAACCCTGGAGTGTGTGTTTGTGTGTGAAGCAAGAACAAATCAAAAGAAAAAAAATAAAATCCAGACACACTGTGAAAAAGGAGATTTTATCCTCAAGAATAAAAGCTCTGTTCTAGAGGGTAGGCTATGGAGAAAATGGGGTGCAGGGACTTGGTTTTAATAGGGGGACTGGTCCTTTGTGTGAACTTGGGGTGTAGTTCCTTCCTGTGCAGTTTGGGATGCTAATAATAATAATAATAATAATAATAATAATAATAATAATAATAATAATAATAATAATAATAATAATAATAATAATAATAATAATAATATTGATAAAGTTGGAAGGGACCTCGGAGGTCATCTAGTCCAACCCCCTGCTCAGGCAGGTAACCCTATACCATTTCGGACAAATGGCTGTCCAGTTTCTTCTTAAAAACTTCCAGTGATGGAGCATTCACCACTTCTGGAGGCAGGTTGTTCCACTGGTTAATTGTTCTAACTGTCAGGAAGTTTCTCCTTAGTTCTAGGTTGCTTCTCTCCTTGATTAGTTTCCATCCGTTGCTTCTTGTCCTGCCTTCAGGCGCTTTGGAGAATAGCTTGACTCCCTCTTCTTTGTGGCAGCCCCAGAGATATTGGAACACTGCTATCATGTCCCCCCTCGTCCTTCTCTTCGTTAAACTTGCTGTCAGACATGCAGACTCCATCTCTGGTGTCTCTCCCCCAACCCCGGAGGGAATTCCTGCCTCTCCTTAGAACCAGTGAGGTGCCAAAAAAGGGGAAGGGGGAGGCAGATCAGAGGGCTTTTAACTTCTAACATTTCCCATAAAGAAAGTAGATAAGAAACCCAGAATTGGACTTCCGGTGGGACGGCGCGCCGATGGCGGCTCTTTTCGGAGCCGTCCGCTTGGGAAGGCGTCAGAGCCAGCATGAACAGCGGTCAGCAGCTGTTCAGCGGCTTGGAACCTTGTGCCCCGGGAGAAGGGGTCGAGGTGAGTACTCCTGGATAGGAGTAGAGTCCCAAAAGCTCTCCCTTTATCTCGGGAGAGCG